CGGGAGACCTTCTCAATTAAAGAACCAGTATAGGCGTGCGATTCAGACCGGATGGTGTAGTAGCTGATGGCCCAGGCTGCGAATGCAAGCAATGCGGTCATGATACTGAGAAGGATCAGTAACTTAACTATTTTGATCATAGTGTCTTTAGAATCTCGCTTCGATACGTTGCCGGCTTCAGATATATCTTCATTAAACCAGTGGCCAATGACATGGATGAATGCAGCTGCGGCAAAGAGAATAGCAGCAACCGTTAGAATATGAGAGTTGAGAAGAACTTGAGCATCAAATAGCAAGCCGCTGATAGAAAGGATTGGAACAGAAAGAGTCAATAGGAATGCCATGACATAGAGCACCCAATGGACTCGTCTAGTTATACTCTTGGCAAACTTGTTAAGTAATCCTCTGATGGCCAAACATAAACAGATCGAGAAGAATGATATTGCCTGATAGACCAACATAATGACATTGGCTACAATCATAACATTATCTCCAGACTGCTTATAATAGCTGATTGTTTGGTAAAAAACGATAAGCGATAGGACAATAGTTAGTGAAACCATAAATGCGCTAAAGAGACCGTATGCAAATGGACGGATCTTGGTAGAGCTAGTGCTTGGGAGGTTTCCGAGGAATAGAAGCATAAGAGAAAAGACCGTTGCCGTGACTAGTATGACAGCGGGCTCTGTTATGTATGAAAACGTTCCGATAGAAGCGAAATTGGCACTGAGCACAAAAGCTATAAATTCACTGGCAAGTACAGCAGTACCGACTAAAACACCAGTGACTAGTTTGAGTGAGTTTGAAGCTGGGGAGTTTGGCCTAGCTGCCCGACCACTCGACTTGAACTTCTTGTAGTCTTTAACAGCATCGTTATTGTTTCGTTTGAAAGAGGAGTTAGTACCGGAAGAGGGCTTATTGGCGTTTAGTATAGCTCGAACACAAGTAAAGTTATTGTCATTGGCCACCAAGGTGTATTCATTATCTTTAGCATTTCTTAAACGAGCAGCATTAGCAAAAGACAGCCAAGTCTGATCGAATATGCCTGTAGGGAAAGGGATTGGGTAATCCAATGGGTTACTGGGGTCTATATCGACTATAACGAACGTCTTTTCTTTCTCATCATAGGTATATTTTAAACCCCAACGATAAATCGCAGTGTTGAATGGGTGGGCGTATTTGAGGAGAGGGCTACTTTCCAAGGAGGAAATCTGCTCCTCCGAGCGAATAAATCTGTAAGGGTCCCTTGAGAATAAGGGTTGCTTATCATTGTTTAATGGGGTTTGGGTAATCTTGGCATATTCTGAAGATCTTAAGCATCTTTTTTCAAATAGATCAAAACTATCTGGCGTATTATCCTTTAAATGAACATTTGAATAAACGAACATAGCCAAGTTTTCAACGAAGCGGCCGTGGTTGGGATCGATGGTTGTAGGGGTCTTTTGTTTTGTCCCTTTTAGCTTGCGATTTAAAGTGTGGTATAAAACTATAAGCTCAGGGACATCATCTATACTATAGGAGTTGCTGATTTGATTCGGATTAGCAGGCGTAAATAGATCCATTAGCAGAGATGCTATATGCTTAACTCGGTCTAAATCATCTTGATCGAATCCCAGTTCTGCATAAAACCCGGATCTGTTGAAGGTGCTGAAACCATTTAGAGTCATTTGGCCGCCATCATAGGCCTTATTATGCTTTTCTAGTCTCTCTCTAGCCCAAATGAGGCCTGTCCCGGCCAATTCCTTTAATGTTGGGGGACTTATTGCTGCCGTGTTAGGTTGGCTTGCGGCACTAGCTCCTTGACAACTCAAAATAAGCAAACACATGCATAACAGCATATGTAGTTTGACAATAACTCTTGTCTTTTGATTAAACATACTTGATGCAAAAAATCAGTTGAAAGTACATAACAACAAAATTACCATATTAGGAAATTTTCTAATTTAGAAGCAAAAACAACCAATCAATTATCTATCCCAAATTCAACTTTATCTTTTAGTGAATAACAGTGTGGTGTTTTTACCATTTCCTGCAGATCTTAATGAGATTCTCAAATCATTTCTATTTTTAGACGAGTAAGTACAGATAATGTAGATATTTATTCCTTACTACATTAGATATGCTAATACTAACTAAACCAACTCGATTAGAGTATAAATATACGACGAAGATTGATAAGAGACTCTCTATAGCATACATGAAGGACTTACAGAAGACTATATCAGATCTAGAAACGACACAGAATCGTATACTAACGCGTATACCAACCCAATACTAATCTCTCGTTGTTTATATTTGAATAAGAAGCCGTTATCCTGCCCTGGGGCACAGCAGTTAAGTTATGTTTAAGTTAAGTTAAGTTTAAGTTAAGTTTAAGTTAGTGCATGTTAATGATACTAACCCAAACTAACCCAATACTAACTCAAACACCAACACACTTGTTTTGGTCGGGCCATGAAGTTACAATGTATTTATTAAATGCTCTCTTATTTATACCTTCAGATTCCCAGAAAGGATAAATAAGACTTGATTTACCATCTAAGGTAAATAAGTAATTTGATCTCAATTTATGTCACCTTGGTGTAAACCAATTTGTGACATTCATGTCATACAACAAACACCAACACCAACACAACTTTAACTTAACATAAACTTAACTCCAACCAACCCAATAAACTAATCATCAACTAAATAGTAGCTAATTATCAACTAATTATCAAGTAATCATTAACTAATTATCAAATAAATATTAACTAAACTCCTACCAAATGATTTTATAATTAAGTTGAGTTATTATTTAGATTTAGTTTTAGATTGAGTTAAGTTGGTATTTAGTTAAATTAAGTTAAGCCAGTTTAAACCAACTCAACTCAACATAAACATCACATAAACCCAACCCAACTTAACTCACCCCAACCCCAACCCAAACCCA